AGCTGTGTTTCGATATCCATATTAAGCAGACTATCACACAGGACTGGGTGTAGGAGATCGGTGATGCACGGCTCATCCAAAACTGCAAATATATTTAGGTGAAATGAAACATCGACAAAATGAAGGTACTTGCTGGATCACTGACCATGTTTAAGAAATCCCTGTAGAGGAACGAGAACAACAGTAGACCGTTCCGCTAGTTGTTCGCTGAGATAGCTTTCGCAGGCATTCCTCAGAGATGCTCCGTCCCAAACATACCGTTTGCAGTGGCGTGTTCGTTATGCCAGAAAAGGTACCAGCGTGTATCCTTTGAAATTCAAGGCACACCAGTGTGACCGTATCGGCATCCACTCGCACAAACATCCGGCAGCCGACATTAACCTCATGCTCCCTCCAACCAAACGTCCGATGGGTTTTTTTGCAAATGAATAAAAGACGATCGCGCGATTCCATCCGTTCATATTCACACGCGGAATTGCACAGTGCGCCCGGCTGCAACTCCAACTGACATGTATCCGCCAGAAAAGGGGCACGAAACCCAGATCGCGCAGCAGGTGGGCGTTGGGGAATTTGATCACATGCTTTTTGTACAGAATCCCGGTAGTTCTCCCGAAAAAGCAGTCGCCCGGCAGTGGCGATCCACTGGCGAACCGATTATGGTGTACAAGGTGGCAGGTCCGCGCATTTTGATCCGAACTTTTTCATCTTCACACGTACGATGTAGAACATTCGAAACAGAGAGCGGAGGACGGTGGCTGGGCGGAACACCAGAGGGCCACCTGGCTCGTCGCGCAGCGCCGCCGACACCGAACGGTTACTTAGCGGGTCCGTGAGTTCATGGTGGAACAGATGGCGGGAGTGAATCCATTCTGCGTCGATTGCGCTGGCATCGAAGTCGACGAAGAAATTGTCGCCGCCATATCCTGAACGTATCCCAGCCACCACTGGCCGTTATCCCGTTGCACGAGCACCGTGTTCCCGTAGTTGACTTGGCGTGCGCCGGAATACAACCGGCGAAAGTATCGGGGCGTTGCGTTCATGATGATGCCGAGGTACGTGTCAAAAGTTGTTATTCTACTCACGAGGCTAGTTTTGATTGAGGTGCAAGGAGGACCTTCGAAATTCTTTACGGATTGGGGGTTTCAGAACAACCGACCCGCTTCGGCGTGAGCCATGTATTTAAATATCGTTGTGGGTGATTGGTGTCCACCTGCAGCGTTACACAGCTGCAGAATGACAGATACGGCATGGCGTTCTCTACCTGCTCCAAAGAGAGTTCAGAGACGAATGTCGCCTATCGGTATCGCTTCATTTTATCTAGGTCAGCTAGGTATGAAAGAGACGATACGATTTGTGGTACACAAGGAGCTGAGTGGAGTCTGGGCCCTACTTGCCTACTCGTAAGTATCTGCAGTTCTGTAGTCTCATTTTTTTTGTATCTTTCGGTCTGCCTCAACCGGTTCCTATAGAAATTCAGCGCGGGAGACTTCAAGCTGTTGTGCGCGATCTCTTTAGTGCAGAATTGACAATCGTACGGGTTTTTTTCACTGTGACTATGCTGGATTAAAATGCCGCACGTTGCGATTATTTTGTAACTATTACATATTTTACAACCGCTACGGAACCTACGACGCTAAATTTAAGTAGCCAAACCGTACAAAATCATTCCACAATGGCATTCTAAGCTACGTCAAGAAAACTTCACCAGAACTGCACGTCGACGGAAACGGAAAGCATTTCTCTCAAAAGCAGAACGAATGAATATGAATACGGTGAGAAGATCCCAAGTGAAGAAAACTGATATAGCACGAAGAAAACTGATATAGCAAATTAGCACGAAGCTCAATTGATGTACTCTTGCTGTTTCATTTACTCCAGCATTCATTCACTGCGACAAAAGTCGCGCGGCTCAGCATGCCAATGTCCAGTTGACGAAGATCCATCGCATCCCACCGCTGAGGATTGTCATCGCGAGCCACACTGTTAAACCTGCGGACTCAACAAGCGTTTAACGTTGGGTTAACGTTAAACAAAGTCCACGTGTACCCCACTCACCGCTTCAAGAAGTATCGAATGCCGCTCCACTCGTCGGGATAGGCCAACGTCCGCCGCCAGCGCGCAATTATCGCGGTGACCTTTTCACGTACACTCTGCGTAACCGCCGGACAGATGTCACTGGCGGCGGTTATAAAGCGTTGCCACTGTTCATCGGTCGTTTCCGTGGAGCGGAAGCGTAGAAACGGGATGACAGCATGCGGCTGAAAGTATTCGGGAGGCCAGTCACCACTGGGTGTGAAACCCAACTCGCGTACCAGCGACGTTGATTCATCATGATACAATATGTTCTCCGCGGTTTTTGTGATGGCTTTTACGGCCTTGTAGTTGATCACCAGCAGTTCCTCATACACCGATAACACATTCGACAGCGTCCAGCATTCATATTCCCGCTCTGCCTGTTGTAGTTATAGGTCAAGAAGGAACCTGCATACGATGGTGCATCTACCCTGTTCCTGACAATGATTCGCGGCACATGAAGACCTTTGGTTTGCAATAATATTGAACTAACTGACAGTTCAGCGTCGACATTAATGCGGCCGGTGGAACGGAAGGGGCTGTCGGCGTCAGTCAGCGCCAGCGTTCGTGTCTGTGGAGTCAGCATGCGGTTTAGAATGGTCGCGAATTTCCAGGTGCAGAAGGATCCTTCAAGCATGGAATCCTGGTCGTAAGGGTTCTTTTGGCACAGTCGACGACAGTCAAGGAAAGATGTCACGACGGTTTATCGGTTCCACCAGGAGAAGCCTCCATAGAGTACACGCCCTAAGGAGCAAAGCTTTTTGAAAAAAACATACAAGATTCTGTATCGGCAAAACCGTCCGCACAGTATAAATACACGTCCCCTTCGTCCCAAAATTATTTTACGTACAGTCCTGTGAAACCATCCCCTAAACCTTCCGAAAAGTTTACGGTAAAGTTTTTTAGACCTGTTGACGGTTTTGCCGACAAAAGCGTCCTTACTGGCCAGTGCATCCGGCGGTCACCTTTGCCGGTCAACTTTCGCATTACACTTTTGTGGCGCGAATGGCTCTAAAATTGTTCCACGTCAACATACCGGTGTATCCGGAGCTGTGCATCAATGTCCAGATTAAGAAAAATATCAGATAAAATCGGGAGTGCAAGATCGCTGATGCACGGGTCATACATGCCTGTAGAACATTTAGTGAGTCAAGACTGTCAACATCTCGAAAAAAAAACATGGAAGCGTGGAACAGATTATTCACTGAATTAGTTCAGTCTGAATTAGAAAGTACGTAAAACAGCAGGAGTTTCTAAACACAGCACACTAACCATGCCCATGCTCAAGCGAGATCTTTGAAGAAATGTCGATGAGGGTGGAACGTTCTGCCAGTTGTTTGCTGAGATAGTCTTCGCAGGCTTCCATCAGGGATTCTCCGTCCCAGAACATACTGTTCTCGGCGGCACGTTCGTTACGCCGATATATAGGATTTCGGCATGCCGCCTTGTGCACTTCAGCGCAAACCAACGTGACGGTATCGGTATCCACTCGCACAAACACCCGACAGCCGACATCGAATTCATGTTCATTAAGAGGAAACGACCCCTTATGTACTGCTCTAGTGCAAGTGAAAACAAAATGGTCAAGCGCGTCGCTGCGCATATACTCACAGGTAGGGCTGCACAAAGCCCCTGGCTGCAAACCCAGCTGGCATTTCCTGACCAGAAAGGTGGGGAAAAAATCTACATCACGATACAGATGGGCTTGGGGGAACTTGATCACATGCTTTTTGTAGAGAATCCCTGTAGATCTCCCGAAAAAGCAGTCGCCCGGCGGTGGCGATCTTTTGGCGAATAGAGTATGGTGTACCAGCTGGCAGGTCCGGGGGTTTTGCGGGGGAGCACTTTCTTCATCCACATGCACGACGAAGAATGTGGAGTACAGGTTGTGGAGGATGACAGCCGGGCGGAGCACCATAGGGCCATCTGGCCCTTCGCGAAGCGCCGCCGAAAACGAACGGTCGCCAGCAAAAGGGCGCGTGAACCGATGGTGGAACAGATACCGAGAATGAATCCATTCTGGATTGACCGTCACGGCATCGAAGTCCACAAAAAAAGTTGTCGCCGTCAATATCCTGCACGTATCCCAGCCACCACTGGCCGCTGTCGCGCTGCACCAGCACCGTGTTCCCGTAGTTGACTTCTCGCTCACCGGAACATAACCGGCGAAGGTATAGGGGAGTTGCTGCATTCATGGGGATGCAGAGTTATGGAAAAATGCTTTTTGTGAAATCTATTACGGGAATTATTTTCAATCACTGCAAAGTTTAGGTTAAAAAAATTTATAGGAGTATAAGGCAGAATATTGAACAGATTCCTCTCAAACCCGATCTGCTTCAGACTTCAACTTAAATGATATCCTGCGTTACTCCAGTATTACATGGGAAGATTGAAGAACGAGTTATTCCACTTGCAACACAGTAGAATTCCGAATAAATGAAGGGCGCAATTGTCTGACTGTGCTTAAAAGAGTTTCCAGTTGGCCTTGCCTGTCGCAGTATTTACGTTTGTTACGGTATGTACAATCTAGGTCAATTTGAAAAAGTGACGACAGATGTGATGCCGTGCAGTATTGCATGACCTTTTACCTAGCAACGACTACCATGCTGTGAGATATTGTTGATTGATTCAGTCAGTAGAGCAGCGCGCGCGTACCAGATAAATATTACTCTTTATTCCCTACTTCGTGACAAACTGGCGTGAAGTATTTCGAACTCACGCACGGTCATACTCCCTTCTCCCTTATAAATGACGCCATCAGTACCCGCCTCAACCACCAACACCACCGTCGCCGCGAGTGCAGCGAAAGAAAAGGACGCCTCCGGCCTGATTAAATTTGAACCTTCCAAAATGACCTGGCGCTGGTGGCAATTCCAGTATAGGAATTACGTCAAACTACACAAAATCACGGATGGCGAAGACCAGAAATGTCTACTTTTCGATTCCGTCGGCGTCGAGGCTGGAGAAATGCTTTTCTCTATGTGTTTGCCGGGAACCCGGACGATTTCACCACAGCGCAAATTGTAGACAAACTTGAACACGCCTTCGTGAAGAAGACCAACGTTGCCACCGAGTGGGCCAATTATTTTAAGCTCAAACAAGAACAGGGTGAATCCCTGTTGGATTATTCCAATAAGCTCCGCCGCAAGGCCTTTCCGTGTGGTTTTCCAGCCGATGTTCTTGAAAAGAACATGTCGGCGACCTTTCTTAATGGTCTCGCCAGCGACGCTGTACGGGAGCATCCCCAGTCAAAAACGTACTCCACGTTGGAGGAAGCGCTGGATATTGCGGAGAAGTACGAGCTCCGGCGTAGCACCAGAAAGGGTCAAACCACTGTCGATGTGGCGCGCGTGGAAAGCGGGAAGCGAAACCCAGCGGGTAATGGCTACAGAAGGCGTGACGGCGCTCGTGGCGGACAACGAGGCCGTGACCTTGGTGGTGCACGCAAGCCTGCTGGCGCAGAAGGTGGCAAGGGTGCAGCCTGTGACGGCTGCGGATCCACGCAGCACGCACAAAGCGACTGCTGGGCGAAAGATGCGGAGTGCAGAAAGTGCAAAAAGCGCGGCCATATAGCGAAGGTCTGCCGGAGCGCACAGAGCTCCAGCGGCCGACAGGGACGCGATGGGCGCCGAACGTTTTTGGTGGAGGAAGAGTATGAAGTGCTCTCTGTCGATGCCACCAGCGGGCGCGCCAATCACGTACCGGTGAAAATAAATGCTGTACCGGTGTCACCAGTGCTGGATACTGGCTCTGGCGTCACCATTGTCGCCTCGGAAACCTGGAGATCGATCGGCTCTCCAAAATTATCACCGTACACCAATCCACTGAAGATTTTTACTGGCCATACCTTAAAGGTCATCGGCACAGCGATGGTGGAAGTGGCCCACGCGAGAACGCGGAAGACGCTGCCGGTGATTGTGGTAGCAACGCGTGGAAATGTACCTGGACGAGATTGGATACACGCGTTGAATTTAAGTCAGCTGAGTTTGCGTGACCTCCAAATCCCAGCGGTGTGTGCTGTCTCGGGAAACGTCCAGCTGAAACAGATCTTTGCCAAGCACAGTGCTGTCTTTCGCGAGGAACTGGGCCAGTGCAAGCACTATAAAGCCCATCTGCACCTAAAGCCAAGTGCCACGCCGGTATTCCGCAAGGCGCGACCGGTTCCGTTCGCCTTCCGGGAGGCCGTGGGACGCGACATTGACCGACTGGTAGAGAAGGGGATTCTCTCACCAGTGGAGCATGCAAAGTGGGCAGCACCGATCGTCGCAGCGCTGAAGCGTGCTGAGGACATCCGGACGTGCGCGGATTTGAGCACGGGGCTTAATGACGCACTGGATGTGCAACAGTATCCCCTTCCGACGCCCGACGAGCTGTTTGCAAAGCTCAACGGCGGTCAGAAGTTTAGCACGCTCGACCTGGCGGAGGCCTATGCGCAAGTGGAGCTTGACGAAGAAAGCAAGGCGCTGGTGGTGATCAACACCCACTTCCAGTACAACCGCATGCCGTTTGGTGTAGCCAGCGGCCCGAGCATCTTCCAACAAATCATGGAACGGATCCTCCAGGGGTGCGAAGGCGTCGCCATCTATATGGACGACATCATCGTCACAGGTGCGACTGATGAAGAGCACCTCCGGAACCTGGAGCGGGTCCTACAACGCCTCGAGGAATACGGACTCAGGCTGAAGCGCTCCAAGTGTCAGTTCCTCCAGGACTCGGTAGAATACCTCGGGTTCGTGGTGGACAGCCGAGGCCGACACATCTCACGCGACCAAGTGAAGGCGCTCTTGGACATGGACCGCCCGGCCAACGTAAGTCAGTTACGTGCATTCCTCGGGCTGGTTAACCACTACGGCAAGTACGTGCGTGACCTTTCGACGAAATGCTGTCCATTTCACCAGCTGCTGAAAGCGGGAGTTTAGTGGTCATGGTCCAAAGAATGCGAGTCACAGTTTCTGGCCATCAAAGAAGAAATAGTACGGGCAACGCTTTTGGTGCATTATGATCCCGAAATGCCTCTTGTCCTGGCAGCGGACGCCTCGCAGTACGGTGTGGGCGCCGTGCTGTGTCATCGGTTCCCGGACGGCACGGAACGACCGATTGCGCACGCATCAAGAACACTCACCGCAGCTGAGAAGAACTACGGGCAAATAGAGAAGGAGGCACTTGCCCTGGTTTTTGGCTGCCGCAAATTCCGCCAGTATATTGCTGGTCGCGAATTCACGTTGTGCACGGACCACAAGCCGCTGCTGAGTGTCTTCGGAAGCAACAAAGGAGTTCCGGTCGTGACAGCCAACCGACTCCAGCGATGGGCACTACTTCTCATGGGCTACTCCTTCTCAATCGAGTACCGGCGCACCGAGGATTTCGGCCAAGCCGACGGCCTGAGTAGCCTGCCACTCCATTCGACCGAACTGGATGGACTGAGCGGGCTGGGAATGGACAAAGTGGTGAATGCGGTACACGAAGACAACGTGTCACGCTTGCCTGTCAAAGCAGAAGCCATTGCCAAAGCAACCGCCGAAGACCAGGATCTGTCCACGGTCCACGGTTACATCCTGCATGGATGGCCGGCCACGGTTGATGAGCGGTTGCGTCCCTACAAACGACTAGAGAATGAATTGGTGCTGACCAACAACTGCATTTGCTGGGGATCGCGCACGGTAATTCCGGTCAAGCAGCGTCGGCAGATACTGGACTACCTGCATGAAGCGCACATGGGAGCCGGTAAGATGAAAGGCGAGGCACGAGCCTATTGCTGGTGGCCACAGATGGATAAAGACATCGAGCACATGTCTCGTGAGTGCCGGATCTGCTCGGAACGCGCTAAGGAAACGGCCAAAGCACCACTCTCGCAGTGGGAAGTGCCCGAAAGCCCATGGATGAGGCTGCACATGGATTTTGCCGGTCCATACCACGGCACAATGCTGCTGCTGGTGGTCGATGCCATGTCCAAATGGCCGGAAGTGGCGCAAATGAAACACGCTACATCCGGTGGCGTGTTGGAAACTTTGCGCAACCTGTTCAGTCGGTACGGCGCTTGTACCGAAATCGTTACGGACAACGGCACCCCGTTTACGTCACAGGAGTTCGCAAACTTCTGTGCGGAACACGGAATAAAGCATCTCAGGACACCACCGGGACACCCACAATCGAATGGACAGGCGGAGCGGTATGTCCAGACCATCAAGGACGGAGTTGCGAAACTCATGGCTGACCGGAAGAACCTGTCCGAAGCACTGCGGCAGTTCCTCTGGAGATACCGAGGCGCGCCGCATGCAACAACCGGAAAGTCGCCAGCGGAGTTGTTCCTGGGTAGAAAATTCCGTACTCAGCTCGACCTGTTGTCTCCTGTTATGTTCACACATACGGAGAGAAACCGCCAACGATACCAGCACAATTTCGACAAGCGCACCAAGCGGAAGAGTTTTACGCCTGGCGACTTGGTAATGGTTCGCGATTACCGTCTCAACCGAACCGTCGACTGGACCAGCGGCCGGCTGGTCAGACGTGAAGGCACCCGGATATGGGAAGTGTCTGTCGAAGGCGCCATCTGGCGCAGACACCTGAACCAGATCCGACCGAGATACTGGCTGCAGCCGGATAAGCGGCAGGTGGCGGATTCCTCACTGCCCGCACCGGTTGCATTGCCAGTGAATACCGGAAACAACATACCCCGCGGCAACAGTGTGGTTCCCGACGCAACGCAACAGACGGAGCAACTGCCTGCAACAGCCACAACCGAACAACCGGCTGTGACACCGAAAACGGAGCTCACTGTCGAACCGGCCGCCACCGAGGTGAAGTTACCGCCGAGTAAACCACCGCAGAAGCGCGCAATACCACCCCCTAAACAACCGGAACCAGAGCTGCGTAAAACTGCCAGAAGCAACGCAGGCCAACGATTAACGCCGAGATTAATAGAAGATCCGAATTTTGGCAAACAGTTACTGTTGTTTTGAGTGGGTTTCCCCACTGGGGGAGGTGTGATGCCGTGCAGTATTGCATGACCTTTTACCTAGCAACGACTACCATGCTGTGAGATATTGTTGATTGATCCAGTCAGTAGAGCAGCGCGCGCGTACCAAATAAATATTACTATTTATTCCCTACTTCGTGACAAGCGACGACAGAATTCGTGGTTAACAAGGAGTGCATCAGTCAAAAATTCTCGTAGAATTATTCTCTAGGCTTTTCTACAGTGCGCTTTACAGATAGTATGTCTCGCTGGTACTTATAATTTCGAGTCTGTTAACAGTACGAAAAGTCGAAACCAGTCGTCGGCTTGCCTGCGGCATTGGCCGCAGAATGACCGATATAAGTTTAGCCTATTATACCTGCTTTCCTCCAGAACGACTCAAGGCGCCGCCGGGTGAGCTGATATAAAGCACCACAGTTGGAACGACCAAGATAAAAATTCTTTACTACTATAAAACTTTCTATGCAAGTACACTGCTTACGTGCCTGGTAATCTGCAAAAGATTCTACTTACTGTGAAACGCGCATTGAATTCTGCGTACTGTAATAGGGGCATGTGTGCCAGTGCCGCATGTATGTAAAACTGACCATTGGTGGGAACGTAGAACGTGACTGTCATGTATTGAACGAACGGCATAATCTTTTATTATGTCCGCTCGAGACAGCAACAAACAACCAACCAAACACTACACATGGCCACAATAACGGACAACAACAATACCGTTGCTACGGCACATTAGCCATAGGCCATTATCCATTTCACGAGATACTCGTACACAACCTTTGTACGAGTGCTTATATACACTACAGCCTTTTGTGTTCTGTCACCACTCATCTGTGGATAACTGACATAACTGCAAAATTGGTTTTTGATTATTGCAATCGCAATCCAGATGGCCCGTGACCGTGTACGCCACCATGCGATACTTTCGAGAACTACCCACTGGTATACGCGAGGTCAACTTTGGGAACACGGTGGTGGAGCAGCGCAATACCGGTCAGTGGATGGCTGGGATACGTGCAGGACTTCGACGGCGGCCACGTCTTCCTTCATCTTTACCATCCGCACACAGAGCATCGAGGCGCCGACGCCGTGGGGATTTGGTGTCAGCGGAACATGAAGCCGTCACTGTCTACAAACTGACCGCTCTGCTCGGACAAATCGTATCCTGTCGCACGCGCGTGGTAGCTATGGGGAGCGAAAGAGCATACTGCGACCGGTCACAGAAGGACTTCGTGAAGGAAATGCACATAGTGTGCCGTGTCGTGGTCTGCCGCTCTTGATTGCCCAGAACCGCTATGAGGCCGCCCATGCCACCTGCGCAATCTTCCTCAACCTCGGTCCCGGTGAATGCCGTGCGGCTGGATGTGGTCATTCCGTACGCACGCCACCATCACGCGCACTCTGGCGCTTCATCGCAGCGGTTAACGATTGTAGCTCGGCCATTACACCGTAGGTCCTGTTCAAGGTCCGGCGGTGTATGCGCATTGGGTGCGGACGTTATCATAACCCGAGCAGTGGAACGAGATTCCTGGAGATGTAAGTGTAACGTGTACAAGTTGGTCCGGTAATTTCTGTCGATGTTATGGAAGAATTTTCGTGCAACACGAAAAGCCAAATAACGTATGTTTTCCTATACTTCCGTTTGTACAATTAATAATATTACTTGTGGGTCATCTTTCGGTCGGTTTTTACACGCAAACAGTTATGCCGTTAAACTGCAGACATCGTGCAATTTATTGAGAACACTTGCGTAATAACAATTCTTGCAAAATGCAAGGGCATGGCGCAAAGCAGATAACTGGAAATATAAAATGCATCGCGGCACAATATGGCAGACGTACTTGGAAGCGTGCTAAGGCAAATATAATAAATAAATAATAAATAAATAAAATATGTGGCATGTTAAAACGTTTGATCAGGAAATCTTAATGTAAAATTAAAAGAGGAAACGAATTAAAGAAATGGAGGTTCAGCCACTGCTCAGTAATAACAGTAAGCATTAAGCATCCAGTGTCAGTATTTACACGGTTGTTTGACGTGCGCGTCAGTCCACGTAGTACACATCGAGAGCAGCAAAGGTTAACTTGTTCAGCTTCCACAAATCCAGCTGTCGCAAGTCGACGTCATCCCAGCGCTGTGGAATTCCGTCCGGACCAACCCCGTTGAACCTAAACAGCAAGAATTTGCCATTTTAACCCTTGTATTACCGACCGACTTTGGCTGTTTCAAATACCACGCGGGCAAGTTTTAGTATGTAGCTCACAACCGCCTCACGGAAAGAGCCACGTTAGCAGCTATTTAATCGCTACCGCACGCAGAAGCGGTTTCAGTGCCAGTTTTTCGCTCTGAAAGTGCGTTCTAAACGCTCCCGAGTAATTCCGTGATATCTTGGCTGTCGTTTATTGTACTTTGCTGCCAACCATTTTATTTTGTAGCAGAAACATTATTGCGAGAAACGATTTTTTTGTTTAATTTTTTATGCACGGGTTCTTAAGTACTGGCGGTTATAGCTGAGGCGGCCAGAACTCGCCTAAAAGTTGCCCCCATGCTCACAGCCCTGACCACTGGTCAAATTACTTTCAACATTAGATGAAAAACATAGAGCAAAAAATTTCACAATCAAACATTAAGGTTTGACTAAGCGAAATATTTTTGTAACAATTCTTTAGGAATTTATAAAACTGTTTTGCCTAAAAGTCACCCCATCGGTATTAGAACGGTTAATAGATTAGCTACGCTAAGCTCAACACTGTCACTGCCCTACTCACATCTGGAAGAAGCTGCGAATTCCCGCCCACTGTTCGGGATAGGCCAACGTCCGCACCCAGCGCCCATGCACCCCGGTGACCTTTTCCCACACCCGTTGCGTAACGGCCGGGCAACTGTCGTTCAGCGTGGCTACGAGGCGTTGGCGCTGCTCCGGGGCAGTCTCCAGCGAGCGAAAGCGCAGCAAAGGAATAACCACAACCAGGTCCCAACCCGTGTCAGTCCGCATAAAAGCAGTGTCGCTGTCCGGCCATGCCAATCCGTCACTGTCAAATAGCATCCGCAATAGACAACTGCCGCCGAAACGATCGGCTGCGTTGTGGTTGATAAGCAGCATTTCCTCGCACTGGGGCACCCAACACCACACGCTCTGGTAATCTAACCGCCCATGGTGATCGGTTCCGAAGGGGCAGTCCAGCGCTGACACCGTTTCGTTGCCGTACTTGATAATGAACAGCGGCAGAATACGGCCCATGTTTGCCAGTGCGCCGCGTATCGTGAACAGTTTCTCTTTGAATTCGCACCCACTTTCGGCATGCCTGCGGTCAGCCGCCGTCCTTCCGTCCACCAGTGCCAGGGCACGCGTCTTGTGGGAAACGGTTCGCTCCAGCATCCTAGCGATTTTGTATTCTGTAATGCTGTCCAAAACCAGAAAGATCGAGCCATCCCAGTCAGGCGTTACGCACAGAGAAGGGACGACAAAAATTATGTGGCGGTTGTGGACGTAGTCGCGCGAAATCAGCCTCTACAACGCGCCCACTCTGCAACCAAAAAACAAGATGCTAATGAGGGAAGCGCACCATAGGCTAGCAATATAAGACCGAAGCGAAGCACGGAACAGCTCAGGTCGCCGACCCATACGGACAGCTAGGTGGATTAATTATTCGTAACTATGGCTTTATGTTTGGGTTGCTTGGCGTCGGAAGATACAGTTGTCAGATAGGACACAGAAGCAGGAAGAAAATGGGGGCAAAATATGCCTTTATTGTGTAAGCAATAAAGCAACAACAACACCAAACCAACAGAAAACCCGATAGGGATAAAGCTGTGGAAAAAGTGCCTGCCAGCGCGCTAGCTAGAATCGTGATAATGATTCAGCGTGCTGCGGGTATGCAACAGCTGATGCCGCAAAGCATGGAATCGCTCGTAAGCGCTGGGCTACGCCCCCAAGAGTGCTGAAATGCGCTGATTGGTCAGCGTAGACAAAGTATACGCTGAGTGAGCAGCGTAATATAGCGGCACGAATGGCGGTGCCATGTGCGGGCAGGCGACAGAGAAAGCCACAAGAGGTGTCTACCGCCTCGAGTGAGCGGTCTCTGACACAGTCATGCAAGACTACTTCTATAGACAACCAAACATCAAGGGAACACAAGAAAGCACAACACAGTAACGATACAAATAAATAAGAAAAGAACGTGCTAAATCACCGCGGCCTTGTGGATTATGAGCGACTTCTGGGCCTGAGGCCCTGAGCGTGTTTAGATACGTATTCGCTGCTTTGCGTAACAAAAAGTGCAGCTGACTTACTGACTCAGTCGTAGCTGGGAGATTACATCTATGCCGATAAAGACACCGGTAAGGATCCCAGCCGTAACGCCGGAAATGGACATTTCTTCCACTTCTGAAAAATGAGTTAACGGGAGTTCTAGTTTCACTTCAACCGAGGCATTCAGCGTCCGGTGGACCGATACTACGCCCATGGTACTCTTACCAGGTGAAAAAGATGTCGTTGGCAAGTTTCCGGCCACAATCGGTCCGGCATACTCTAACTCCCTTGACAGTTGTTCGGCGAGATAGCTTTGGCAAGCCCCTTAGAGAATCTTGAGTCCAGAACATACTGCGTCCCGCTGCATCACCATGCACTTCGGCGCAAACGAAGGTGACCGTATCGATTCCCGCTCGCACAAACACACGGCAACCGACATTGAATTCATACCTACCATTCGTCCAGTGTGGCCTTTCATTACAACGGAAAACAAAGCGCACCGTGTAGTTGCTCCTGTCTAGCCGACAGCGCATGTTGCAGGGGCCATCCCGGTTCAGTATTACTTGGCAAGCAGGAACCAGAAACTTCGGCATAAATTTCACATGATTCAACAGATGCGCCTTGTCGAAGGCCACAACATGCTTCCGGTAGAAGAGGCCGCTGGCTTGATGAGCGAAACTTGGCTCAGTATTTGTTGGCGCTAGCTGTGTGGTTAGCTGAAACCAAGGCACGATGCGCTGTTCATCTGAACCGTTTTGGCTTGACTGATGCAGACTAACAGCGTAGAACATGTAGCACCTGTAGAAGCGCTTAAAAATGATGGCGGGCCGGAAAACCATAGGTCCGCCTGGTTCGCCACGTGCACCGAATGGCTTGGCATGCCACAGAAATAGCGTAGATGATGCGGCCACAGATGTTTAAAATGTATCCATTCTGCGCTGACAGTGCTGGCGTCGAAGTCAACAAAGAAATAGTCGCCGTCTATGTCCTGAACGTATCCCAGCCACCACTGGCCGTTATCGCGGCGCACCAGTACCGTATTGCCATAATTAACTTCGCGTGCACTGGAGCGCAGCTCTCGAAAGTAGCGTAGCGTGTTTGACATCTTAATGCTGTGAAGAAAAGGGGATCTGGAAAAGAATTCAGTAGACGATTTCGTGCAGTCGATGTTTTGATTATGCGGTGCAGTCAGGCTCATAGAGCTTTCGCAAAAAAATGCATAAGAAGTGAACGCCTCATCCGTTCTCCGATATCTCACTTGTTTCAAATACAGGAATGTTTTGTGAGCGGAGAAGCGGCTCACGTACAGCGACAAAATCTTTCAAAGGATATCAACGTATTGCGCCGTGGTGCAGTAGTACTGCCTACGCGGATCTAACGTGGTAGCCGGTGTTCGATTCCCCCATCGGCGCCTTTTTCAGCCGTTCCTCGGTTCCCTCGGATTGCGCCCTGCTTAGAGTTTGTTTAAAAAAGATAAACTCGGTTTAGAAAATCGTTTTAGAAATAAACTCAAAGTCTGGTCAGTAGGAGAACACTTAAGTAAAACAAAGGCACTGTAATACTGTATGTACAAGGAAGTTAAAAAAAATTGAATCGCTGCAGAATATTTTAAGCTTCAGTAAGAAAAAAGTGCGCTGGAATGACTGAACACGACAGCTCACAAACTGGCGCCAAAATTCCAAAATGAATTAGCTCTTCCCAGGCAGCCGAGACAGGTAATACTGTACGTAGAACTAGACTAAGATAATAAAAATAAGTCATTCTTCAGAGGTTGACAATAAAACCTCTCTGAGAAACTGGTCAGTCGTCTGCTGCGACTGATCTCCCTGGCTTCTTCCAACGTGGTGCAGCGCTGTAAACATGACAGTTATTCAGTGTTCACCTTCAAGCTGGAGTTGGCAAACTGACCGAGTAGTACTGCTAATTTCTGAAAAAGCAGCCGTACTAAGCAGGAGGTTTAGTTGTTATCATTTATCTTTGTATCCATAATTCCATCCCTAGCACCTTTCATTCAACTCTGTCTAATTTAACAGAAGTCTAATGCACCAGGAAAATTTCTGGCGCACAGCAGTTACGTTTGTGTAGTTTGATTTCGCCTTAAAGCAGGTAACCCATTTCCGGCCAGGGAAGCAGTACAGCTACGATAGCATGGGATTTCAAACCTGACCGGAAAAAATAGCATCAAACTGAACAAAACGAGCAAGCTGTACCTAACTGGTCCTAACAAGCAGTTTTAAGATCCTATAAGTCTGCAGCATGGGGAAACATGGGGCGTCCTGTGATAGTGCATGACCTTTACATAGCAACCAATACAGCTGCGACTGTAAGATCATGTAAACATTCAGTGTACATCGTGGCGCGCCTAATAAATATATTATGTATGATAACATAATATGACATAACTGGCGTGAAGGAAGTTCTTACTCATACGGACTAATTTGATCTGGATCCTAACCAGCCAACCTCCAGCATGCCTCCCAAGGAAGAGAGCGTTTCGGGCCTTTTGCGATTCGAGCCATCATCCATGACGTGGCGATCATGGCAATTTCGATATCGTAATTATGTTAAGCTAAAGAAGGTCACCGACAGTGATGAGCAGAAAGCTCTGCTCCTGGATTCTCTTGGTGTTGAAGCAATGGAGATGGTGCACTCCATGTGCTTGCCCAAGGATCCAGACGAGTACACGACTGCGCAAATTGTTGACAAGCTCGAAGCAGCGTATGTGAAGAAGACCAATGCCACCACAGAGTGGGCGAATTATTTTCGCATCTCTCAAGAGCCAGGAGAAACCCTATTGGACTTCTCAAACAAGCTCCGCAGGAAAGCGATCCACTGTTCTTTTCCAGCAGACGTGCTGGAAAAGAATATGTCTTCGACCTTCCTGAATGGACTGGCGAATGACACCACGCGCCAACATTTAATGTCCAAAGATTTCACCACCCTGGAGAAGGCATTGGAACTAGCTCAACAGTACGAGCTAACGCGGAGTACGAAACGCGGTCAAGCAACGGTGGAAGTTGCGCGTGTAGACGGAGGTCAACGACGGGGCGGTGGTGCGAATCGAAATCGCGGGAACCGCCGCGGAGGAATGAGAGGGCGTGGAAACCCGTCTAGCCAAAGCACGGCAGCTGGCTCGGCAGCGTGCTCGGGATGTGGTTCTGCTACGCATGCCCGCGGAGACTGTTGGGCAAAGGATCTTGTGTGCAGAAACTGCAACAAGAAAGGTCACATCGCGAAAGTATGCCGCAGTCCGAAGCAGCAACAGCCACGAGGCCAGGACGGACGACGCACCTGGGCAGTCGAGCAGGAATTTGACGTCCTGTCAGTGAATGCGGTGATGTCCTGTCAGTGAATGCGGTGGTTGGTGGATCGATCCACGTGCCACTGAAGCTGAACGGGACAGCCGTGTCACCTGTGCTGGATACCGGATCTGCGGTGACGATTATCACGGCAGACACATGGAGAAGTATCGGAGCGCCCAGATTGAGCCCGTACTCCCATCCCCTGCGAAGTTTTACAGGACATCCGCTGAGTGTCATCGGAACGGCAACACTGGAGGTTGTGCATGGCCGTACACAGAAGGCGCTGCCGGTGGTGGTAGTCGGCCGCGGTGGAAATGTCCTCGGGCGCGACTGGATTGCCGCTCTGGATCTCAGTCACCTGAGTCTACGCGACCTTCAGGACACTTCCGTGTGCGCTGTGAGCAGCAACCCAAAGTTGAAGGAGATCCTGGAGCGCCACAAGGCAGTGTTCCGAGACGAGCTAGGACTCTGCAAGCATTACAAGGCTCGTTTGTATTTGAAGCCTGGCGCCCGTCCGGTGTTCTGCAAAGCAAGGACGGTGCCGTTTGCGTTCCGTGACGCCGTGGAGAAGGACCTGGACCGGTTGGTGCAGTGAGGCATCCTAACGCCGGTCGACCACGCGGATTGGGCAGCTCCCACGGTGTCGGTGCAGAAGCGCGCCGGTGATATCCGGACCTGCGCAGATTTAAGTACCGGTTTAAATGACTCCTTGGACGCGCAGCAGTACCCGCTTCCTACTCCAGATGAGCTGTTTGCCAAATTGAATGGAGGGCAAACGTTTAGCACACTGGACTTAGCGGAAGCATACGCACAAGTGGAGCTTGAGGAAGACAGCAAGCAACTCGTCGTTATCAATACGCATAAAGGTCTCTTCCGTTACAACCGGTTACCATTCGGTGTATCCAGTGGCCCAAGCATTTTCCAGCAGATCATGGAGAAGATCCTGCAGGGATGCGAGGGAGTGGCCGTGTACCTGGATGACATCATCATCACAGGCCGAACCGAAGAAGAACATCTCCATAACTTGGAGAAGGTGTTACAATGGTTGGAAGAACACGGGCTTACTCTTAAACAAGCCAAGTGTCGTTTCATGCAGAATTCCGTAGAATACCTTGGGTTTGTCGTTGACAAACGAGGCCGCCACATTTCGCGCGATCGCGTCAAAGCCTTGTTGGACATGAACAGGCCGACGAACGTGAGTGAGCTCCGAGCGTTTCTCGGACTTGTGAACCACTACGGCAAATTCCTGCCGGACCTATCTTCAAAGTGCAATGAATTCCACAGCCTGCTGAAGGCGGGTGTTACGTGGGAATGGTCGAAAGTGTGCGAAGCCAATTTCAACGGGCTGAAGGAGGAAATCGCCCGGGCCACGTTCCTTGTCCATTTCGATCCGGACATGCCGCTGGTGTTAGCGGCGGACGCCTCACAGTATGGTGTCGGGGCGGTATTGTGTCACCGTTTCCCCGATGGCACCGAACGTCCCATCGCGCACGCATCCAAGACGCTCAGCCCGGCGGAGAAGAACTATGGGCAAATTGAGAAAGAGGCGTTGGCACTTGTATTTGGATGTCGCAAATTTCATCAGTACATTGCCGGCCGAGAATTCACGTTGCTGACTGACCACAAACCACTTCTTAGTGTGTTTGGAAGCTGGAAAGGCATCCCAGTCATCACCGCAAACCGGCTACAGAGATGGGCACTGTTGTTAATGGGTTACACGTTTTCCATACAGTACTGCCGCACTGAGGAGTTTGGTCAAGCCGACGGTCTCAGCAGACTGCCCATGCACTCCACACAGCTGAGTGGACTCCCTGACCTGGGGATGGACAACATCGTCAGTGATGTGCACACTGAGAGTCTGCGAAACACTCCAGTATCAGCAGGTGACTGACTGAAGCCGTACAAGCGGCTGGAGCGGGAGTTAGTACTGGTCAACGGATGCATTTGTTGGGGAATGCGGACAGTCATCCCTGAAAAGCTCCGTCCCGCCATCCTGGCGCACTTGCATGACGCGCACATGGGCGCCAGCAAGATGAAAGCGGAAGCGCGCGGCTATTGCTGGTGGCCGCTGATGGACAGAGACATCGAGCGACTGGCAGGTGGTTGCCGGATCTGCTCGGAACGCGCCAAGGAGACGGCGAAAGTTCCTTTGTCACAGTGGACCATACCGGAAGCGCCGTGGAAGCGCATTCATATCGACTTTGCGGGGCCGTATCAGGGCACGATGCTGTTCATCGTGGTGGACGCCCTGTCAAAGTGGCCAGAGGTCATCCCCATGAAACACGCCACGACGGACGGGGTGATCGAATCGTTTCTGAATCTGTTCAGTCGATACGGGATATGTGCCGAAATTGTGTCTGACAACGGGACGCAATTCACATCGGAACCGTTTGCCCAGTTTTGTGCACAGTTCGGAATCAAGCACATACGGACGCCGCCTGGACACCCACAGTCCAACGGACAAGCGGAACGGTTCGTGCAAACCGTGAAGGACGGTATCGCAAAGCTGCGATAAGACGGAAAGTCACTTCCGGTCGCTCTCCGACAGTTCCTATGGCGTTACCGGAGCGTACCGCACGCGACAACAGGAGTATCGCCAGCGGAGAAGTTCATCGGTCGCAAAATGCGTTCCACCATGGATTTGCTAGTGCCAGTCATGCTCACCACGACTGAGAAAAATCGACAGCGATACCAGCGTAATTTTGACGAAAACACCAAGCCAAAGAATTTCTAGCCTGGTCAGATGGTGCTGACGCGCGACTACCGGCTAAACCGACTGGTAGACTGGGTCAGTGGGAAATTGCTGAAGCGAGAAGGCACGCGAATATGGCAGGTGCTGGTAAACGGTATAACCTGGCGCAGACACGAGAATCAACTGCGACCGCGTCACTGGCTAACCGCTGGTGAACATGTGGATCTGGACGTACCAGATGAGCCGAAGGGAAATTCACCGCTGGCCGTAGAACCTAACCAGAATGTACCCGCCGGCGAAGTGAAGGCGGAAGCGCCAGTGGAAAGCGGCACAACGCAGGCCGATGCGGCCGACGGAAGTCAGAATACCGCGGTAGAACACAGTGCACAGTTAAACGCTGAAAGCAAGAATGAACCAACGCAGCCGCCAACGAAAGAGACGAAGAAGAACAAACCGAAGAAGCACGTACCAGAGAAAATGCCAGCGGAAGCCGTCCCGGAGCTATGAAGGACGGCGCGTGCAAATTTTGGAGTAAATCCGAAGCGGTTAATTCAAGACCCCAATTTCGGTTAATTATGTTTGTTGTTGTTTGAGTGGGTTTTTCCCACTGGGGGAGGTGTGATAGTGCATGACCTTTACATAGCAACCAATACAGCTGCGACTGTAAGATCATGTAAACATTCAGTGTACATCGTGGCACGCCTAATAAATATATTATGTATGATAATATACGACACGTCCCTACAATTAATAATGGATTTTCTTCATGAAAAGGTAAGAAGGGATAATGGAGAAAAGATACATCAAAATGGTAAATCAAGATCAGAGACTAAGATATTCCAGCCTAAAGTCGATTAACAGGAGTCCTAATTCCACATCCGATAGGCGTTGCAGGCGCTTAAAGTATGCACAGGCTGCACAGCTGCAACACTATTGCTCAACAAACAATAGCCACAACAATCAGGACGCATGCCATCCATTAAAGAAAACAAGCCGAGTATAAAACAACAATAAAACAGCCAAGAGAACGTAACTCATGTGCATTGCTTCTGAAAAGGCGAATACTATTATGTAACTGACAACCAATGTTCCCATTACCATTCACGCAAAAACAGACCGAAGTGAAGGGCAATACCGTGAATCAACAAAATTCCCGCTGACAGTAAATCGTCCTTTGATGAATGACGATCGAAATTTGTCCACACTCAAAATAAGAGGTACAAAGTAATGAAATTATTATAATATCAGACAGGTACAGTAGGAAAGAAAAATACATGATGGAAGAGCCAGATTACAGAACACAGCACGTACTACCGAACATCCTTGGGGGCAAACAACCACTCATGAATTAATCTCTTCCTCCAACGCAACATATCAGACAACAAAAAGCAAACAGCAAAACATAACTGAGAACTAGCCCACTATAAATCCCCCTACAACACAATCATGCCCTTTTGGAATGACGCAAGATAGAACCCTGCTCAGTCTTTGTAATAAGCGTCTAGAGCGGCGAAGGTCAAGCTGCTCAACCGCGACAAGTCCAGCACGCGCAAATCGACTTCATCCCAGGATTGCGGGATGTCGTCGGCGTGGAAACTGTTGAACCTACTCAACACAAAAATCGCCATCGGAACCGAACGTTTACATAAATTCTACTTATGACTTAGTCGACCAAAAATGTACAAGTAAAATTCCCGCCAAAAATTATACGGGCAGTTTTTACGGAACACGTTTACAAAAGACACCACCTGCGCAGTTTTCGCCAGTTTTTTAGGCAGCACGCAATGATCAACCATACTTACATCCGGAAAAGATTGCGGATCGCCGCCCACTCTTCGGGATAGGCCAACGTCCGCACCCACCGCTGCTGCATCGCCGTGACCTTTTTCAGCACTCGCGGCGAAACGACTGGGCAGGCGTTGTTGGCCGCTGCGATGAAGCCTCGGCAATGCTCCGCGGCGGTCTCCGTGCCACGGAAGCGCACGAACGGGATCACCACGTCCAGCTGTCCTCTATCGCCAAATCGTTTCCAGACAATCTTCCTCTCAGTATCCGGCCATGGCGTCCCTGGTTTGCCACTGCATCCCCAAAGACGAGAATTCGACTCCGTCGCAGACGGTGTAGTTTATCAGCCGCAGTTCGTCACACATGGACATCCATCCGCGTTCTGACGACAGCTCCCGGCATTCGTAATTCCCCGTCTGAGCATTGAGACCTAGTCTCAAGAACGCAGCACACTCACGCGCCGGATTCTCGATGAAGTTTTTGGCGATGAAAAGCGGCACACGAAGGGATTTCTTTTCTAATAACTCGATGATGCTCTGCATTCGTGATGCGAACAAGTCATCCTGGAAATCGTAGCTGCGCTTTTTGAATGTTCTTCCATCTACCAACGCTACCGCTCGCGTGTTCGGAGAAATGCTGCGTTCCATTATCGCAGAGAATTTGTAGCGTTCATTGACGCTCAGTTCCGCAGTAATGTGGTAGTCACCCGGTTCCCGAATGGACACCGGACGGAGGACGTACATCACGCAACGCTCGCTGTTAGATTTCGGCAGCACAAGTCTCCATAACGCACACACCCTGCAAGCGACAATTAGACGGAAACCGACTCATGAACAAATTCTGTTTCCGCTACATATTATCAATTCATATGATTCCAGCGCAACCGAATGATTCTATGTCCATTGCGAAGTTCAGCTTTAATGTTTCGTTTAACATAAGCAAACGAGTTCTGCTAACTTACTGGCTGACCCGGAATTCAGTAACAACATCCGTATTCCCCAAAACACACTCAAGAACAGTAGCCGATAGATCGGTGATGCACATTTCTGACTCTGCAACAACACCACGTTATAAGTGGAATCTTTCCCGAAAGAGCCCAATTTCGGCAGGAGTACTACGGATGCCGTTACACTTACCATGTTGCAACGGAACTTTTGGGGAGTCGGCAGACGTGAACAGTTTGCGACCAGCCGCTGCAAAGCCACCACCAATCTGAGCAAAAAATTTAGCGCTCGTGCTCGGCTCTAGCTTCCGTTGCAAGGACTGCTGTTGGGAGAGATACGTCTGGCAGGCTTTCTTCAGAGAGTCCACGGTCCAGAAAGCACTGTACCCGGCGGAATCACCGTGCACTTCGGCGCAGATGAACGTCACCGTGTCCGTTGCCGCCCGCACAAACACGCGTACACCAAACTCATACTGCCCAGAATGCCCACTCCAACAGTGAAAGTAAAACCTATCCATTCCATGCGGAAGGATGCTAAAGCGACAGCTGGCACTGCAGTGGCGATTACCAGTGGCCCACTCTAACTGGCACGCCTCAACCATGAGCTGGGGGAAGAACTTTAGGTGACGCAAAAGGTGGGCCTTGCCGAACTGGACGACATGCTTCCGGTAGACGAGTCCGTTATGCTTTCCGAAGAAACTTGGCGGACTACCCGCGGGCTGCAGTTGGGTTGTCAGCTGACGCACCGGCACGATGCGGCGGTCGCGGGAATCACCCAGGTGTACAGCGCAGAACTTGCAGTGGAGATTCTCCATGATAGTGGCCGGTTGGAAGACCAGCGGACCGTTGTCCTCGTTTCGCAGCGCCACATGCGCGGATAAGCCCGGAAGCGGAAGACGGTCCAGGTCACCGATGAAGTAATGAGGGCACACATCTTTAGCATGAATCCACTCGGCGCTGACTGTGCTGGCATCGAAGTCGATGAAGAACTGATCGCTGTCAATATCCTGAACGTATCCCAGCCACCATTGGTCGTTGTCGCGCCGCACTAGCACCGTGTTCCCGTAGTTCATCTCGCGCGCATCCGAGCACTGTTCCCAAAGTAACGCATTGTGGTGGGCATGTTCGGTGGCAGACGGGTCGTGTAGTTATTCGGAATGTTGCAATAAGTATATCGCGTATTTACATAATTCCTGGGAAAGCGTTGGCCAAGGTTAGTAATGTTTACGAAAGGCCGAATGTTATATCACGTAGGCAAATTATCGAGCTTAAGGATATACTTCAACTTTTCATACGTACCGCAAGCAGAATGTTACCAGTCTTTTCGATAAATCTTTACTGTGCTTTGACTGCTTTCAAAAGCATAAACGTCTTCGATTTTCGCTACAAATCCGTAAAATAAAACCGTGTGCAAAATGCAACATCGGCAACAGTCGGGTAACAGCGAAATTGGAAATGTACGGATATACGTCATTCCATTTCCATTCGTGGAATGGAATTTCCAGATTTGCGCTCTAGACACTCATGAACAGGCTGGCTTGGATTCCGAAATGGAATGCAGGAAGTCCTTGGTTTCAGCTTGATGAAAAGTGTCGCACAGCATTGGATAAGTGACTGTGCAACCTCGACGAATAACCCAAAACATCGATTTAATGTGCGACGTTTTCGAAGATAAATCTGGTTTTTAAAAAGTAATTCGAACACATTTCTGTCGGAATTATCGCTAAAACGCGATAGGTACAATGCGGGCAAATGAAGAGGCTACGGTTAATGTTAAAAAGCGAGAGAACAGCCTGTTTTGCCCGCTGTGGCGGGTTGATCACTGCAGCTTCTCGTGAGACTATAAAATTAAATAGAGTATTGAATGACATATATATAGAGTATAGACCGAAGACAGCGGATTCCAGTGCTGCCCTAAAGCACAAGCTGAATGCTGGCATGCTGTATCGATCGATCGGCACAATTGTCATGTGTTTGCGAGTGATTTAATCCGCTCGCACTTTACACACGTACGATTGTGGCTGTGCGCGCACTAGCTGTACAGACCGGTTTTCGCTGTCTTCGCTAAGTGCATACCCTATTAAACCCGTAGCTTTTAATAATATTAGTCGCATTGTATGTCTCAGACAATCGCTAGTGCTTTCTCTTTATTATTTACTAGTTGCTGGTTGATAACCACATCGTGCACCGAGCGCGAGCGATATGCCAGACTGGTCGCTGCTGACTACATAACTCGCAAAAAATCTGCCGATTGCGGGAATCGAACCCGCGTCCTCTATACTCTAAAGCCGAGAGAGGCACCACTAGGCTATCGGCGTACAGCAGAATATCGTAAGATATTCTCCGTACAGCCGGCAACCTAACGAACAGAGCCACGCTCGATATCTCACCGAAAAATGTTAACTAAAGGCAAGTACTTACTCTTACTATAGTGTGAGGAGGACTGGTAACCTACCGTTTGACGTCATCACTCTCGCATACACGGGAGGGCGGCTGCCATGGTGACAGATGCGCGTTTTTTACGGTTTTTGTCAGTTTTCTCAGCATATTTCTTTTCTCTTCTATTTCTAGCCCCTCATGTTTGGGTTTCTAAATTCAATATCTTCTGTTAAAATATCAGAAGCTTTAGAGGAGAAAGGAACTGAGAATATCTTTAAAAAGGGACAGTAAAATCTGTGGGCCTATGGTAAGCAATAGCACACCAGTGCATTCTGTATGCGGCAGTGATGACGTAGTCGACCGTTGCAGAGTCGCTTCTCAGTCCTCTACCTATAGTAAGTTCTTGCTACAGTATATAGTATAAGGTTTCATACGCCCTTAGGGCAAGCGGGCGGCGGTTTTTAATTCTGAATGTTTTATAAGGCAGCGAATGTATAAAGTACTGTCTTATAAACCGAGAAACACATGTATCAACTACACTTATATTGTCTCACTACTTCCCTGTGCGAATACAAAAACAACTGGACAACTACAAAAGAAAAAATCACATTGTAAATTTAACAAGCAGCGGAAACATGCGGCCGAATTACAGAGAACATTTGATCTAAATTA